AATTGCCCTTAAAGAGCAAGTCACCCCCAAATAAACTTTTTTTTGCTGATAAACTAAATAAACGAGTGTCTAATCGTGCTGCAGACACGTGTCGTCAATAATTTGGCACTTCAGTGCATCTTAGTTCAAATTTAAATATTCTGCCTAAAACTGGCAGTGTTGTGCCGTTGTCAGGTAAAAACTCTGCACTGTATTTTAATTTAAATCTGCCACCGCTATTGGCTAAGAAGTATGATATGATGTAAACTGGTACATTATGATGTCACAATGCTGTCGTGAGCCTGAGTGTGTGTGTATTTGTTAGCGGCTCCGCCCTCTCGGTCTGCCAGGCAACAGCATGTGTTGCATTTTTCAAACATAAAGCAGGGGTGGAGTTAGACTCTGGTAGGGGTTGACTTGCTCTTTAAGCTGTTTAACTTGGACCAAGCATTTTAGGTCACAGATAGGTGTAGCTTAGGGTCTCTGTCTATACACCTTATAAGACAATTTAGGTGATGGCATGTTGTTTTTCTGCTATTGAACTGTTTTCTAATAATGCTGTGTTTAATAAAGTGAAGGAAGGAGAAAAATAACGTTTCCCTAGCAGTTTTTAAAAATGTCCCTATGTAATCCGATTAATCAATTAATCGTGTCGAGACCCCATCCGATTAATCGATTATCCAAATAATCGTTTGTTGCAGCCCTAAAAGGCATTACCTGTAAATTGTATATTCACCAGTTTTAAAAGACAAATCTGTATACATACATACATACATACATATATAGTCATGTTATTTAGGATGTGCCATCAAAAATGCAGATTGTGAGAATTACTCACCAGTGGTCTCACTTGTATGAACCTCTTGGGGGTCAACAGCAGCATGCCATCAACCTTGTGTGCAGAGAGTGGGGTTGGATCATTGAAGTCTGACTGCAGATTCATAGACAGGCTTCCCGGTGTGGCTGACAGCTCATAGGAACGCAGATGCTCTACATTTACACATCTGCACCAGGAAGCATAATCAGTAGAGAAAACAAACATTGTGAATCACAAGGTAGATCTGTGTTAGTCTGCAAAATTTAGGCAGTCCTCCACTATATATGAAGCTAAATCATTAATCATCTAAATTATGTGTGTGTGTGTTAGGGCCTGCACGACTTTATTTTTTTTAAAGTCGACAGTCAAGTAATGAAAGTCGAGTCGACTTCGACTAGTCGTTGATGACGTCATACGCCGGAAGCGGCGGAGGGGGGGTCGGTCGGTAGGTTCGCTGGAGTTTTTGACAATTAAAATTGCGCCCACATTTTCTAAGTTAACACATCTCTTTTAACAACGGTAGTTTCTGCATCCTACTTCAGTCCTCTCCCTCCTCCCCCTGCACAGCAGCCGCAAACTCACTGATGCGCCTGCAGCCTTTCCTGCTGCTCTAAACATTAAAATAATTATTTCATTTTCTGTTCCTCACTTCTGATTACCTTCAGTGGTGTCTGTTTGTTGCAACCACCAGGTACAAAAACTAGCTTGTTTTTATTTGACTATTTTTCTGTCCTGCCTGTTTATTATCTTCCTGCATCTCCTCTCAGTCCTAAAGAAAAACTGCAACCTGCCTTCATATATATTCACCTTATGAGTTACCTTTGAACTGCAGTTCTAAAAGATCTACCGACCACAAAAACAGCGGAGTGCCGCTGCTCGCCGGCCGACTACAACGGGACCGTTTTTGCTGCGGAGTTCATGCCGGAGCGGAGCGGAGTGGAGATAGTGGAATCTTGGGGGCGCGTCACCGGAGGACAACAGGTGATGCGCATCGCTCCGCAGCAGCGAAATGCATCAGGCACAAATAACAGACAGAAAACATGAAAGGAAATGAGCCGACATGAACGATTGCGTGTTTAATTTGTTTTTGAGGTGGTGACACCTGATTTGGCGGTGCTCAGGACGCAATGTCTGGAGCGCACGTCAGTGATCAGAGCTTTGCATGCACAAACTGGTTAAGATTAGGATGGGGGTGAGGGGAAGGTTAAATTGCAAGAGGGTAAAGGTCACAGTTTGGTTAAATGTCCGTTTTACCGCCGGTGTCAGTACCGCACAGCGCGTCGCCTCCGCCTCGATCCAGACGCGCAGGGGCTCAACACCTGCTGTCTTTTCCGAGGACTGCATCTTGTCAGTCATTATCACGTGACAGCGACTAGTTGATGACAGGCATAAAAAGTCACTACAGAGCCGTGAAGTCGACTAGTCGACTAGTTCGTACAACCCCTAGTGTGTGTGTGTGTGAGGAGATTCAAGTGTAATTTGACTTATCCACACAAAGCTAAAAACATTTAAGAATCTGGAGTAACAGTGTACAGTAAGGACAAAATTACAACACTAAAATACTGTGAAATTAATAGAAACAGTGTTCTGCGGTTCAAGATATGTGCAACTGAGCACTATTTAAAAAAACTATGGAGGGGACAAAAATGGAGGGAAGGAGGGAACATAGCATCGAGATACAGCACTGCTTCATCTCTTGTGGTCACAATCCTCTTCTACGGTTAAAAAAAGCAGGCTGCTTGCAAAGCTATCGCACGGGTGCTACAGGGAAATAGTTTACAAGACAGACTGATTTTTTCATCGCTGTACAAGAGACCACTGCTCATTTACTTTTAATAAGTGGATGTTTAAGTTTGACTTGGTGGCGCTGAGCTCCCGCTTTTATTTTTTTCTCAGAACGTCACGTTTAAAAAATTATGATGGGGGGAGGACAAAAATGGAGGGAATAAGTCTCTAGAAGTCTAATAAAAAAGTATCTAAAGTAAAGCTAACCTTTAATAATGAGATAGCGCTGCTCGTTTCATTTAATAAACGGACTTTAGTCGCACACAAAGTTAATAACACAGCTAACTCATGCAATGACTTAGCATATTAGCTTGCTACATGACCAACATTACTCACCATGTCCGTCTTAAAAACATTTAAAACATTTAAGCAACTTTTATGGCGGCTACTTACATTTAGCTCAGTGGTGCAGAACCAGTGACTGTCAAGTGCAGAACAGAAGCGCGACCTCCGACGGTTAATGCACCTCCAACCCTCCTCTTATTCTCCGTCTGCTGAGAAGCTTCGACAGCTGACTGAGCAAATGCTACAAAATAAAAGCACTTCCTGTGCGTGTAATTTCACAATAATTCGTAATTTCATGCTTAATATGTTATTTAGGACAGACAGACAGAGTAGTTATTTCAAAATAAGGCAAAGTTTCAAGCAAGGATAAACTTAATATGGAGGAAGTGATTATGTTAAACAGAAAGGACATGTCAAAAAGGACTGATTTTAAAATATATAAAGCTTTACAACAGGATTTGATTGTTAAGAATATAGATATTAAAGAAAAATGGGAACTGGAAGTGAACATAATGATAACAGATGAGGAATGGGAGGAAACACTTGAAGCAGGCCATAAACTAACTAATAGTCCGTCTTGGAGGGAATTTGAATGGAAGGTGAAGATGCATGCTTTAAAACTCCACTTATCATGTCTAAATAGTAATGTTTCAAATTTATGTTGTAGAAAATGAGGGCTAGTGGGAGACTTTTCACATATACTTTTGGACTGCCCTAAATTCATACCATTCTGGGAAGGTGTTAGGGAGAAATTGAAAGAACCTTGAAGGTGAAATTACAATTTAAGTTAAAATGGTTTGTACTGGGAATGCTGTACCAAAAATCATACACACATAATGGAGACATACGTAATCAGAATTCTGCTTATGACTGCCAAGAAGTGTATTACAGTTTTATGGCTGGACACAGAACCCCCAAGGGTGGCACAGTGGAGAGACCGAGTTAGACAGGTCTACAAAATGGAACAATTTAATGCAAGACTATGACTGGGACTAGGGAAATTTGAAAAAATTTGGGAACCAATAAAACAAATGTTAGAAAGATAGTACTCTCATGTGAAAATTATTATTATTATTTTTTAAATGCATTTTTGTCTTTTGGGTGAGTTATTTAGCTAGATCAAAGTAAATTGTAGAATGTAGTAGAGAGCAAATAAGATGAATACAGAGAAAGCTTGTCAGAACTATACGTACTGATTGGTGATTTGGTTAAGTTGGATAGATCTCATGGCCACAAGGAAATTCGAACTTTGTTCAGGGAAACACTGCCCTGGAGAAGGGAAGAAGAAACTCAAATGCATCTCCATGTAAATGTTGTTGTTCTAATTCAAAAATAAAAAGTTCCAAATATATATATGTATATATATATATACTGTATACTTATATATTATAATATATATATATATATATATATATATATATATATATATATATATATATACTGTATACTTATATATTATATAATATATATATATATATATATATATTATATATAAGTATATATATATATACTTATATATATATATATATATATATATATATATATATATATATACTTATATATAATATATAAGTATACAGTATATATATATACTTATATATATATATGTAAGTATATATATATAAGTATATATATATACATATATATATATATATATATATACTTAGATATATGTTATATTACATAAGTATATATATATATATTAAGTATACTTATACATTACTTGGTGAAATATACTTCTGATAGAGTCAAGTACAAGTATAGTCTAAATGTAAGTAAACTTTAATGTAAGTATGTATTAAAGTATACTTAGTAGTATTTAAAAAATGTACTCGGATAACTATACTTCTAATAAGTACATTGAAAGTAAACTTGGAAGTATACTGTATTCATTTTTAGTATACTTCAAGTATACTTCAGTGTACTTGAAGTATACTTGAAGTATACTTGAAGTATACTTCAAGTATACTTCAGTGTACTTCTTTTTGGTAAGGGTTAAAAGGTTGCCTCAGCTAGCTGAGCCTAGAAAACAGACACAAAAAGCTCTGACTCAGTCAACGGAACTAAACTCGAGCAGCGTAGCAGTCGAGGGTCTTGGAGTGACTTTCTCATGTGATGACCACTTTGTGTTCAGTGACTGCGCTCCTGCGATGTGCTCGAGGATTGCTGTTGATGATGACCTCGCCCAGAAGCTGTGGGACATCAGCTGCAACATGCTCAACATCACCTGGCAGTGAATGGATCATCCATGTGAACATCACCTCTCATCAACAACATTATGAACTTTCACAGATCTTTTCTTTGGAAAATGCTCTCTAATGACTCCAAAACTCTTTAGACGGCTTCAAATGCCTTCTTTTTTTGTTTCGTCAAGGATACTGTATGGACTCTGTTGTGCTCAAAACGAATCAATGGGGAGAAATCCAAAATATAACTCTATTGAAGAATTTTCTCCTTAATTATGGTATTTTTGCTCAGTAGGTTTTATGTCCAGAGAGCAAATGGTACTCTGTCATGAGGAAAAAAAGTATCATCTAATCATAATTTTGCTCCAAATCAACAGAAGAAAAAGACAAAAGAAATAGTCTTTCTTTGTGCAAGTTCATTTGACAATTCATCTTTTTCTCCTATTGGGTCCTACTTACTGGTCATAGATTACACTTTCATCATCATTTTGTTGTCGTTTCTTACAGTAGATGTGCATGTCTCAGTTCTTTTTAAAGCTTTTTAATCCCACTGTGGCCTTGTGATGAAAGTGTTGTGTTTCATATTCCTCTCATTTATCCAAACAAGCTTAAGATCTTTCCAGTTTGGCCTTGCCCGTGTGCAGCTACACCCACTGCAAGTATTTATAACAACAGCCCAACACTTGGGTGCTTAGCACACTTGGAGGACAGAATCGGATGCTTTTCTGTTACCTTTTCTGTGACAGGAGCAGTTGCCGGGTGTAATCACACTGAGCCTTTACAGCCTCGAGATATGTTTCATTATGGCATGAAATTATAACAATAGCACTTGTGTGTTAGCTAGCACTAGTTAGCTAGTGTGTTAGCTAGTGTGCTAGCACTTCTTGTTATCTGTATTTAGGTGGTACTAATGTGTGCTTCTGGTTGATATCTTCAGATTAAGTGACTGAATTTTGTGACATCATTGTTGATTTTTTAAATAACAAACATATTAAAATGCCACAAAAAAAACAAAAAAAAACACACACATTATTCAAGCTGATTGCACAAAAATGCCAGAAGGAAACTGCTGATCTTAATCTTAGTCACACGAGTTATTATTACCTTAGGAATGTGGCATAATCCAGAGGAATGACTTATTTTTCTGCTGCTTGCAAAAGATCCTAACAAAGAAATGCGATATAAGAGGAGTAGAAAAACAAAGGACTCTGAAATATTTTGTTGTTATTTAACAAAGTTTATCTGCAGAAAAAACAGGCCGGTTTGGTATTAATGTCTTGTTCTGCTGCTTCGTATGTGCTTAAAGTTTCTTCGTAAGCAAGATTTTACAAGCTTTTTTTTTCAAGATTCTCTTCAATAAAGGTTTTTGTACATTAGACAACATTTCTATATTTAATTTATATAAATAAGATGCAGCTTACAATTTTCCTAGATTTTTGTCAATTTTTTCTGCCCTGTAATAAATTTGAAACTATGTGTTATTTTGAAATTAAAGGTTAAAGGTTGTTTAAAATTAAACATATTCCTGAGTTGACAAGTTATTGGTTTGTTGTTAAAAGGGAAGTATAGTTTTTAACGTTTCAATTAAATCAAGACACCACAAAGAAATGCACCATGAAAGAAGAAGAAGAAAATATCATTTCTGTAGCGCTTCTCAAGATACAAATCACGAGGCGCTTCACAAAAACAAAAAATGTAAAAATATAAAACATAATTTAGAAAATGGTTAAAATATAGTTAAAATGAGCAAAAAATAGACAGTTGTAATTAAAAAATGTTAAGAGAGAGAGAGAGAGTGAATAGGAAAGAGGAAAATCAGTGGATCCAGAGGAAGGTGGACTAGGTGGGGAGAGCAGAATAAAGAGAGAGTGAAGAAGGCCATACAAAAGCCAGCCTGAACAAGTGAGTTTTCAGCTGCTTTTTAAAGGAGTCCACTGATCTCAGGCTCAGGGGGAGAGAGTTCCAGAGTCTGGGGGCCACAGCAGCAGATGATCTGTCGCCTTTGGTCTTCAGCCTGGTGCTGCACAACCAGTAGGCTATTATCACTGGACCTCAGGGACCGCTGGGGGTGTAGGGATTAAGAAGATCACCAATGTAAGATGTTGCTTGTCCATGTAAGGCCCTATAGACCAGAACCAGGATCTTGAAATGAACCCTGAAGTTGACTGGCAGCCAGTGAAGCTGGAGGAGAAGAGGGGTGATGTGGGTGTGTTTGGAGGACTTGGTCAGAAGTCGAGCACAGGCATTCTGAATGACCTGTAGACGGTTCAAGGAGGTTCTGCTCAAACACGTGAAAAGAGAGTTACAGTAGTAGTCTAAGCGTGAGGAGATGAAGGTGTGGAGAACTGTCTCAAGTTCAGAGCGGGGCAGAATGGGACTCAGCTTAACAATCTTCCTGAGAAAGAGAATGGACAAATAGTAACTAATGTTTAACAATAAAAACACGTTTAGGTTTTATCTCTCTTCTATTATAATCTACAGAAATAATTGATATCTCAGGATCTTTTTCTGCCGGTTCAGCAAAAAACAAATAAATGCCCGTCATGAAACCTCCCAAACTGCAGGTGGCAGTGTAAAAAGAAAACAAAGAGAACCGGATAGACACTTCACGCATGCGCCGTTTAAGTCTACGTCAGCTCTTTGCATTTCTTCCGAGGTAAAGCTACGTGGCTGTTTACTCGTTCTTCTGTCTTCTCACCAGGCGCTTCATCGAAAATAGGTAAAATCAATCATCTTTAAAACATTATTTTTAACGTTTAACATTATTTATAATTTCCTATTTGAAACATTCTAGTGTTTCTCGGTTTTGTACCTAAACGTTACTTCAAGCGTTGGCGTTATTACCTTGGTTTAAAATTAAGCTAGCTGGAGAGTGTTTCACTTGAATTTATTCACGTGTACGTAATTCACAGTTGAATATAACGTTTATTGTTTAGTATACCAATATATGTGTGATGGAAAAGAAGATTATCAGTGGTGTACTGCCAATAGTGACGTTAACTCAAGCTAAAAAGTCCTTTTTAGCTACAGTTAGCGTTAGCACAGATTGAATGTTGGCTACTCTTTAGATTCATCTTATTTTACTCCGTAGCCCTAAAGTCATCATGGATCAAGTCATGCAGTTTGTTGAGCCCAGCCGGCAGTTTGTGAAAGACTCCATCAGACTCGTCAAGAGATGCACAAAACCCGACAGAAAAGGTAAGTTTTTACATTATTTCAAGTGTCTGAGCAAGTTTATTTTAACTCACATTTCAGATTAAATAAACAATTGTTTTTTTCCCCCAGAGTTTCAGAAGATAGCCATGGCCACAGCGATCGGGTTTGCTATCATGGGATTCATCGGCTTCTTTGTCAAGCTCATCCACATCCCAATCAACAACATCATTGTGTAAGTTAAACCCTTTTTGTGCTTTCAGTTGTTGATTAAATGGAGATCTATACAGATTTATATGGTTTGTGTGTGAATGGTCAAAGACTGAAATGATGGGATTAGCTTAACCAAATAAATATGCATTTATAAGATCATAATGGTTACAGAGAAATGGTCCAAACACTGGTGGTGTTACAATAAAATTCACTATGCAATAATTTAATGAGTGCATTTAAAAGCAAAGTATAAAGTTCCTTTAAACCTTTTTTTTATAACAAATGATAAATTAACTACATTGCACTTTTTATTTAAAGAGCAAGTCACCCCCTACAAGAAGCGTGCTCTACTCCCACGTCATGTTTGAAAAATGACACAAATGCTGTTGCCTAGCAGACCGAGAGGGTGGAGCCACTAACAAATACACACACTCACGACATTGTGACATCATAATGTACCAGTTTACATCATAGCATACCTCTTAGCCAATAGCGGTGGCAGATTTAAATTCAAATGCAGTGCAGACTTTTTACCCGTCAGCGGCACAACACTGACAGTTTCAGGCAGAAAATTTAAATTTTAACTAAAATGCACTAAAGTGCAAAACTATTGACTACACGTGTCTGCAGCACGATTAGACACGCATTTATATAGTTTATCAGGAAAAAAAAGTTGATTTGGGGGTGACTTGCTCTTTAATCCTGGTGTAAACAAACCTTTAAATGCAGCACAAATGTGTGTGTTTAAATTTTTCCATAACGTTTTTTGTGTCTCCATCTACTAACATTGCCCTCATTGTTTTTCTTGTAGTGGTGGTTAAATCCGGATCAAGCAAAATGGGAAAAATATGGATCTCTGGAGACATGGTGGCTTCATAGTGTTATCGTACCGATGTGATGAAAAAAAGAAACAAAGAACAGCATTTTTTACATTCTGTTCTCAACATTTATATTTCTCTGTAAATAAAATGAGTGAAAGCCAGAAACTGTTTTTCTTTCTTAAAAATTTTATTATATTGGTGATAAAAAATGTTTGACATGAAAAGTTGAATCAAAAATAGCTTAATTTAAACATTTCTACTAAGCAGGTCTCTGGTTCTGGAAGTAGTAATCTGCAGAATGTATAAAGGAGCGATGAAGGGAAATTCATGTTTACACCTTCTTTCCATCATTTATGATGTAAATCAGCAGAGGGGAACCCTGGTTCTCGCGGGCCGGTATCCTGCACGCCTTTGCTCCAACACTCCTGATTCAGTGGTTGATTCACCTGTTCAGCAACTCATCAAGCTCTGCAGAAGCCCGTTAATCGTTTGATGCAGGGTTGAAACTAAAATATGCCGGATAGCGGCCCTTGGACCAGGGTTCCCCACCTCTGATGTAAATGAGGAAGAAAAGATCTTTTCTATAGCGCCTCAAGATAAAAATCACGAGGCACTTCACAAAAACAAAAAAATGTAAAAATATATTCAAAATGAGCAAAGAGGGAAATCAGTGGATCCTGAGGAAGGTGGAATAGGTGGTCCACTGATCTCAGGCTCAGGGGGAGAGAGTTCCAGAGGCTGGGGGGGCCACAGCAGCAGATGATCTTTGGTCTTACGCCTGGTGCTGCACAACCAGTGGGCTTTGATCACTGGACCTCAGGGACCTGCTGGGGGTGTAGGGACTAAGAAGATCACCAATGTAAGATGGTGCTTGATTCAAAATCATACATTCTGATTAACCTGATTTCTCTGAGATGTTTTCTTTACTCCCCATTTTTATGAATGCTCATGCTCCAGAGCAGAGGTTTGTCTGTGGACACAGTTACAGCCTTCCGTGGATCTCCTCGTTCAGCGGGCTCATAGGTGTTGGAGGTGCTCACCAGCTTCCCAAACTCCAGGACCTGGTTACCTGGAAGGAGAAGAATGATGTGATTAACTGCTAATTAGCACAATAACAACGTCTACGAGGAAGCGTGTTGGTTCTACGAGCCGCGATGTGAAAGGACTTTTTGACTTTATGGTATTTTATCATCCACTGCAGAAATTCACATATCCTTTTACACTAAAACAGGAAATTTTCATTTTCTGCTTAAAGAACAAACAAATCTACTCAAACAACATAAAATTTGACCACTAGAGTTACATGAGGTGTTTTATATTTTGGTTAACTTAGATCTAGAAAGGGAAAATTTAATGTGGCTATTTATTAAAAAAAATATCAACATACAAATTCTTCATCTCAAACCAGGGTTTTATTTTGGACGTTAAACACTTCTGAGTATCTAAAGCTGGAAAAACAAGCAGCACTGCCCTCAAGTGGTTACATAAAGGCATTGTTTATCCTGTCAGATGGTCGAAATTAACAAAAAAATCTTATATTATAGCTTTATTATTTGGACTTCACATGTAATATTGATTTTAAGGTGCTACAGAACACATTTAAGACCAGTTCAAAGTTGGCGTTTGTTTATATGTGGTGATATATTCATAAATCTAGATTGTCATGAAAATATTCCATCAGATTGTACTATTTTTAATCTGTCTTCAGCTAAATTAATTACACTTAGCCATGTCGTTCTTTGGAATCTGAAGTCTTGCCACACACACAACAAATCCCTGAGTAATCCTTATATCATAAATAACTGCAGCTGCTGTCATGCGAAATAATTCCTCTCAAAGGAACGACTAATAAATCACCGACTGTGCATGAAAAGGTGCAAACAGTGAAACGGTGCATCCGTTTCTTCTCTTCAATTACCAGTTACGTTTATGGATGCTGCATTGGCTCCGAACAAGATGAGCTGACAAGCTTCCTGAGAATGGAGCCGCTGGATCGTGTCTAATATGCAAAGGGTCAACTCACACAGAACATGCATAGAAGCTCCGTGGCCTATCAGCCACAGTGTTATTAGAATCTGTAGCTAATAAACTATACACCAGCGGATGACTGAACAGCTGGTCAAAACCTTTTAAGGTGCTTGTTCTTAATCAGGTATGGTTTCCTGGAAGCCTATTTACATCTCAGCTCTAGCCAACTTGACCCAATTGTGTGCTGCTTGGATTCAGCAGACCAGGAGCTGTGTTTGGATTTATGCTGATGGATTAGTACATCTGACCGCTACAAACTACAGCCGGAACCGGGGGTCCCATCGTGTACTAGGTATCCACACAGAAGTTAATTCAAGTGTTTAGTGACACCTAGTGGGCATGCTGGGAAACTGCTGATGTGAAAATCGTTGTTCACGCCAGAGCCACAAGATGAGTGTTGCACGTCTATGAGCGAGGCTTAAAGCATAAGCAAAGTGCTGCAGAACATAAATCTCCCAACAAGCACTCCTGCAGACCGGGCGGTGTGAAGAGAGCGAGCATTCAGAGACAGGATTTTTTTTAACCCTTAATGAGACTGCTTCAGGTCAGCTGTGCTCTTATGTCCCAGTTCCACTGAGTGGAACGGTCTGGGTCAGAGCGGGGCATCGTGGGCCAGTATGGATCGCTGATTTCAGGAGAGCTTTTTGATCACAAGCTGGACTTTCATTTGGCAGGCGGGGTCAACCCTAAATGAGCACCACCCTGAATGTGGCCATCACCACGGTAGTAAATGGCTTGTATTTGATATAGCACCTTCTAGAGTCCTGGAACCCCCCCAAGGTGCTTTGCAACACAATCAACTCTCTCTTCACTATGACACATCGGTACAACGCCTGCATCACCGCAGACGCAGCGCCGATCCGCATCTCTCACTCACCCGTGAACACACTTAAACTCCTCCACTTAGGGCAGGACCTCATCCCTGACTTGGAGAACATCTATCTGCATATTTAAAAAAAAAACATGTACCAAAGTGAGCAGTTAAGGTCCACAGGGCTAAAAAATGGAAATGCTTAGATCCATGCATGTACAGTTTGATACTTATGGATTTATGCAGCTTTCTTGACTTGTATGTGCACAAGTTTTTAGAAAGTGCACACACCTTCACACACAACAACCTCGGGAAAGGTTCTGTATCCGCTTGCCAATCATCTCTGCCATCTTTCAAAGCTCATCTTTAGTCTAGAAACGACAACGCTGTCCTGAAAACATCTCCTTTACCAGTGACACCCGAGTACCAGCCTGTAAGATCTCACACACTCTACGTCAGCGAGGACTGCGTTTACAGACCGCACTTAACGACATTTAACGAGTCACTAAGGTGTTGTAAAGACAAATGCACAGCGAGGAGATAGTTTCACTTTGGACACTAGGGGGTGCTAAAAGCAAGCTAAACTGCCTGGTATGCCTTTAAGTCAATTCTTAGGATCTTCTACTTTTACTTAAGTAATCTTTTATACACCTGTATTTGTACTTTTAAATAAGTGAAAAAAAACATCAAGTACTTCTTCCACCACTGTTGTTTTGTTTACGCGCCCTTCTTGTGTGAAATGACACCGTTAACCTGGTGACAAACGCAGAAATGCTCAGTTCTTTTGTATTTTGCTGAATGAAAATAACAATGACTGATTGGTATTTTTGTTTGCTTCAGTAAACAAGAGGAGCAACAAAAATATGGCTGTGACTTCAGACTGGCTGCCAAAATAAGCGATTAACAGGTTGCTAATACCAGTGGAAGCTGATTAATTTAGTTATTAATTACATGTATTTTTTATATTTACATCATCATCTGTTTTCAGCCACTTATCTGGAGTCGGGTCGCAGGGGCAGCCGCCTAAGCAGAGGCCCAAACTTCCCTCTCCCCAGCCACTTGGGCCAGCTCCTCCGGGGGAATCGCCAGGCAGTCCCTTCAGGGTATCCTGGGTCTTCCCCTGGATTTCCTCCCCGTTGGACGTGCCTGGAAAACCTCACCAGGGAGGCACGATGCCTGAGCCACCTCAACTGTCTCCTCTCAATGTGGAGGAACAGCAGATCTACTCCGAGCCCCTCCTGGCTGACCGAGCTTCTCACCCTATCTCTAAGGGAGAGCCCAGATACTCTGCGGAGAAAACTAATTTCAGCTGCTTGTATCCATGATCTCTTTCTTTTGGTTACTACCAATCCCCCACAATGTGGCTTTAAAATTGAGTCAAACCCGGAAGTACCAAAAATTGCAGTTCCACCCTCCTCCGCTGGGGGCTGGTGTCAGAAGCGAGCAAATCCTCATTGACTCCCATGTTAAAAATGCCAATTTCACAGCAGGGGGTGAATTTTTTCTCACTCTTCTGTTTAAGTGTATTAAAAGCCTAAAATTCTGTATAATTAATGAGCATCAGACCCACGTGACCACAGAGCTAGCTCCGTGGAAAGGCCTCAGTAGAGCCTCGGTCTGGCCTGGAAACTGTTCCTGGATTTTGAGTCTCTGTGTTCGTGTATTCTTTTTTGGATATTATTTGTGCAATTGTTGGACAAAATGACTTGCTGTGGCATTAATTGCACTAATAGAGCGTCCAAGGAGTCTCCACTTAATTTTTTTCGGTAAGTAAAATTATATTTATGTATTTTAGGTCACTGCCGAGCTGAGCTTAGATTTTAACATGTAATGTTTAACCATGACATTTAAATTTAATAGGGTAAAACCCAGTGCATTTAACATAATGCTGCACTTTAGAAAATGGGTTGAAATATAACATGTTGGTGGAGCTGGGTTCCAACTATCGGCTTGTGGAGCTCTCGGGAGACCGATGTTTTCCACTCGGTTCTCCCCTCCCCGCAGCCCGGTCCATCTCTGTCTGATCGCGGCTCCTTAGCTGCGCGGGCTGACGGCTGGTTCTCCCAGCAGCTCTGCGCATCTGTCTGATTGCGGCTTCTGTGTGCTGTGCGGCTGCCGGCTTGTGGAGGTCTCAGAGACCTCTGTGTTCCACCCGGTTTTACCCAGCGGTCAGCCCGGCGTATCTCTGACTCAGAAGCTCTGGTGTTGTGCACAGTTAACTCCGGTTGTAGCTAGGTTGCTACCTCCATTAGCTTAGCTCCCACCTCCGCATTAGCTTTGGGTTAGCTTCAGGTTAGCTTGTTAGCTGATATTGGAGCCTATGGAAAGAAGATGTCCATAATATTAATGTCGATGGTTACTACCCAGAGCTAATGACCACAGGTGAGGGTAAGGGGCTCGACACACGGGAGGCGACAAACGACCGCGATCAGCGAAATTCGTCGCTGTCGCTTTTATTACCTGACACACAGGAGGCAATCCGCGGCCAGCGGCAAAGCCGTCTACGCGTTTTGTTCCATGGCGAAATCGAAACTTCCGTTGTTTTGTTTGGCTGTGTCAGGTTGGAAAGAACTGGTGAGGGACTGCACAAATATAAATTGATATTTACGTTTAAAAAGGGGGTAGAAATAATAAGATTTTTCTTCTATCTGCTCCCTTTCATTCAAATATATATTGTGTTTTCATGAATATTGTTTAGTGTCTGTTGTGTTATTTTTTATTGAATGAACTAAAGATAATAACGATGAATTAAGGTTATTTAAGCGGTTCAGAGTAAAAAAATTGGTAAATTGGTAGACATGATGTTTCACAAGGTGCTGCTAGAGTTATGTGAAATCTTACTCCTGATTTTACTATATAAACATAACTTCTCCTTCATGTTTGCTCGGAGATGTACGGAGCATCCTGTCCGCTCATTGGTCAGTGAATGAAGCCTCCGTTGATTGGTCCTCGTCCGAGCGACAGCGATGAAAGGTTGAAAATGTTTCAACTTTCTAGGATCGCGTCGCTGGGTCGCCTGTGCACGACACGTGCACGAGCGCTAAATTTCACACGCACGTTTTTCGCGTTTCGCTTAGTAGGAGGGAGACCCGCGATTATCGCTTTGTCTCATTGAAAACGAATGGAGAGGCGACGTCGCTTCCCATGTGTCGAGCCCATTAGAACGTAGATCTACCGGTAAATCGAGAGTTTCAGCTTCCAGCTCAGCTCTCTCTTTACAATGATCGGCA